CTGTTAGCATCCTTCGAGTTTGTAGCTTTTATTAGTTAATAATCATCTAGACAGCCCAAGCTAATCCTGCTAACAACCTTAGCCAAACTTTCTTTTTTGCGCTTTTCAGGCAGATCTGCTTCTTGTGAGTTGCATTACTGCCACCTATTGGATTTAATTGCCACTTGTAACAAGAAGGTTGGTTATGTTTAGACTGCAGAACTTTAAAAATAGGGTTTGTCATCAGAACTTGAACACAGACTGATGACCAGAAGTTTTTCCTCTGTCTGAAATACTCAGTAGATGTTGTGAATTTGTGTGTAACTGTGTGTATTTTCTTCTTGTCTTTTAGAACCTTCTGTTTTCCACAAGGACGTCTCAGACTAACAGCAGCGTCGCTCAGCTCTCCGTGCCTTCCTGCGTCTGCGCTAACCCAGGTAGGCTAAGTGACCCTTGACCCACAGCTCTGTTAAAACTCAATGTCTAGACGACCGCTTGTTTAAATGACTTTTTAATCGCGGATACACTCGATGTTGATCGTTATACAGGCAGCAGATAAAGACGGGTTAAATATTTAATATTTATTTAATAAGTCATTGTTCAAACTATTGTAGTTTTAACTGGTACAGAGAAAAACCTCCGACACTTACAAGTTAAACTAAGTTAAAGTTAATAATAATTATCGCATGCGTTTATTCCTATTTAAAGTACGATTAGTTAACGATCAAATACGCTAAACTATAAAAACGCCACAAAATTGTAGAACAGTGTGAGTCACTAAAATGTTTATCGTCTCATTACATCCCTCTCTGATTGGTTAAAAGTGTCCAAACCAAAGATGTAGCAGTTAAAAAAAAACATATCTGCAGTACCAAATACGTCCTGTTGGTGTTAGTTAGTGCTGTTTAATCTCAGTGTCGTTTTAACAAATGTGTTTCCAAGAGCAAGTTTAATGTTGATGCAGAGACTTTCATTTACACGGGGAGGGGTGTAGGTGGGGGGGGGGGCAACAGTGAAATTGTCAAAAGTGAGTTATCTTTTTAATTTAGCTTGAGTCGGTGTAATGGAGGGAAACGCAGAACAGGGCAGAGGCGATGACGCCTGGAAAAAATTAGCTTATTAGCAAAAATGTTAGCGCTCTTTGTGATGAATATTTCTGCGACATTAAAGTAAAACCGGTGGGAAAAAAATACAAACGTGCGTCACGGAGCAGAACGGTTTTTATTTGTACTGCAGTTTTAACAGATCACTTACATCGACATGTAACAAAAACATCGTATTTAAAAAAAGGTCGACGTACTTTCAAATACTTTTCTGACACACGGGAAACTTTATTTTCTTAAAAACAGCCAGACAGTAATTTAACCCTTTAATTCACAGTTGAACTGAACTGCGTCTGTTTCATGTTAAAGTCTTCACACCTGTTGACTGTTGTAGAAAAACATGTTTTATTTCCCATCATTTCATTAACCAGG